AGGCCTTTAAAATTAGATAATCATATTTATAATTTTAATCAATATAAATATGATGATCTGACCGTTCAACACTTTACATCAGCAAAGTATTATTTTTTTTTTTTTCATATCCTATGAAAGAAAAAAGGATAATTGAAGTAATTAGCTTTTGTTGCGATAAAAATATTGGGTTGAGATATATAAAAATCAGGAGCTGCTGATTTGGATGGAACATGTATCTTCATCACGAATCTTGTAAAGGTATAGAGATATTCTAGAGGTCATTGTTTAGTATAAATAGAGAGGTGTATTAATTTAATTTTGTATATAAATAGGAACAACCCATGTTACTATATTGGCAAACAAATCAAATGGTGGGGCATTTTCTGACGTATATATGATAATAGTAGCCGGTGGTTTCAAATCAAAGGCCGGCCAAGCATTTTGATTTGCAGAGTTTCACTGATGAGAAGCACATGGGATAATTTTTTTTTTTTTAATCTTAAATTATCATCAAGATTAACTAATCAATATATGTTCCTCTTTAAGCCGGGAAAAAAAATAGAACTTTACGTCAACAAAAATAAGAGTTGTATTGTACTTATAATGTCGTTTTCATTGATCTCTCCTTCAAATTTTAAAGCTGAAAGTGGTACATAGAATTAGATCCTTTAAGAAGATATAAACAAACTTTTTTCACTAATAAAGAGAGGACTATTTGAGAAACTTTTGAGAAATAGTGCAAAGGAATGGTCTCCAGATATTATTTTTGGCTGATCAATATTTTGGTTTCCCCATTTGGAATATATATTATTATGTTTATGTATGAGAGAATAGTATTTTCATCACGTGCATGACAGCATTATTGATGTTTGGCCATTCCTAATTTTTTTTTTTTTTTTTAAAGGATAGAGAGAGCAAGCAAACGACTGAAATGAGTCTGAAAATATAAAAAGCCTCAGATCCCTTGCCTTCCCAATAAGCAGAGAGATGAGATAAGATTTGTCCAATTGGAGAGAAAGACCCCATTTCTGTACAGTCGTGTTTCAATCCTCTCCTCACACTTATTCCATCCAATATCTCTCTCTCTCTCTCTCTCTCTCTCTCTCTCTCTCTCTCTCTCATTAATCACTACGTACACACCCTTCACTTGAGTCTCTTTCTCTCTCTCTATCTCTCTCTCTTGGTGTCTTGCAATTAAATTTTATTAATTTGTGTCCTATATAATTAATTTTATTATTATTATTTTATGTTACATATAGTTGGGATTACGTCTTTTCTGTGAGTTGAGACAAAACCCACCTCAATTTCCAGGTAGATTCAGAGACCCTTTTTTTTCTTCCCTACAAAAGGTTTGATTTGTTGTTTTAATTTTTTAAGTCCTACATGTTGGAAACACATAATAGATGTTGTTGGGTAGTTGTTATTTTCATTCTCCGATTCTAGCAACAATGTCTGTGTCACATGTATATCTATATGTATCTAACTCATGATATATATATATTATATATATATATATATATACTATAATAATCTGCATATCATATCATGCAATATTGTATCATGTAAATTCCCATCTCAATCATACGTTGATTATTGGTGATTAGACATTAACATGTTCAGAATACATAAAGGGGAGGTTTAATTTAAGCTTTAAATAACCACAACATCATGACAACCAAAAAGGGCAAAAATGAAAAGAAAAAAAAATATCTGCAAATTGTGGGATTATTTTATTGATTTATGATGAAAGCCGAAACCTGAAATTTTCTACAAGTTTCTCAAAGACGTTGTTTGGCCAAGTGCGGGAATCCTTGACCACAAAGAAAGCTGGCTATGATCCACAGGTTGGTTTTGGGAATCTGCCATGTAATTCGTGGAGGGTTTTCTGCAAACCTGGAAAATCTTGAATTAATTTCATAAATGCCCTTTAACATGCTTCTAAATTTTAAAAAGGGTTCAGTTCACCCCTTAAAGTATGAAAAGTAGTTCAAAACACCCTTAACTAATTTTTTTACAAATACCTTATGAACTATCGGTTTTTTGTCAATTTATCCCTCAATCTTTTAAAAAGTTCAGGGACAAATTAATACAAACACAATAATTCTGAGATTAAGTTGACTTAAAATCAATAATTTAGGAGGCATTTATAAAAATAAAAGTAGTGTCGTGTCATTAATTTGTTAGTTTTACAAATGTACGGGACATTTTGAACTGAGGTACATATTTCAGGGGTTAAAATAAACGCTTTTTAAATTTTGGAGAGTATATTGAAATACGATATAAAGTTAGAGGCATTTATGAAATTAATCCGAAAAACTTTTTTTATGTTTTATTTTTTCAGTGATAAGAGGGACAAAGAACACGACAAAAAGCTCATATATATTAGATATTTAAGGAAAGAGGTGAGGAGGCAATTAAAATTGAATTTAATATTACCATTTATGGGAGTTCCTCAATTCCCAAGTAAAAATAAATAAATAAATAAATAAATACAACACGCACCTAGTATTTGGTACAAGGCCAATCCGTGAGAGTTTCATTTCTATGATTCCCCACTGAAGTCCACTAGTCTTTTTTTTTCATTTAATTTCATTTACTTGTTATATATATATATATATATATATCTTATTACGCTTCCATATTTCCGAAAAAATGAAATGAAAAGAGAGGGGGAAAAAAAAAAAGCAAAGCTCATGTCCTATATATAGGAAGATTATGTGGTAACTGGGATATGGGGGGAAAATCCATAAGTGTGGAAGAAATCAGAATTATGTCATATTAAATAAAAGTATAAAAGTAGGATAATTTAATGGAATTTGAGGTAAATGTAGTTTTTTTTTATTTACCTTAATCTACTAAAAAAAATCATCCCTACATATAATGATCAGTAAAAGTACTTTCAGGTATAATATATAGGTTTTGAAAAACTAAAATAATGCTAATTATTGGTGTAATGATCTGCATGCTTTCAGATTGTTTTCAGTTCAATGTAGCAAAACAAGTGTCCAAAAATGAACAAAATTAAAGGCCGAGAACAATGAACGTAATCTAAATGTTGATACGAATCCGCTAAAATATGTATTATAATATCAGTCAGCTGATCACTAATCATGATGTACATTACGTAAAACTCTGAGGGCCGTTTAGTTTGTTGATTTGAATTTTTAATTTGAGTTGAAATTTAATTTTATGTGAGAGTTTTTTTAGTAATAAAAAAGTTAGATGTGATTATTTATGAGAACTTTTTACTATAACAAAATTCAAATTCTAAACTCAAATCAACGAAATGAAGTACTACTAATCATTAAGCGAATTTCCTCCATGTACATCTTCATGATACTATTCTCTTCAACGTATCGATAACATGTAATTACAATAATGAGTTTGTTTTTTTGGGAGCCTAATTTTCATAAATGGCTGTAACTTTTTTAAAATTGGATACATCTTTTGTGTCTTTTTTTTTATTCACGGTCTCTCATTGATTGCGGTATATCAATGATTGACTATTGATTTTGCCTTTTGAGATGTTTTTTATTCATGGTCTATCATTGATTGACTAAAGGATTATGTCTACTACTAATTGATCTCGATCTATCATTAATTACAGCAATTTGTAACTAATTAATTTTAAAAAAAGAATAATAATTTTAAACAAGTTATGGACAAACTTGTCAAGTTATGGTTCATAGTTAGATAAGTTATGGACAAAAATCGTGAATAACTTGTCAAGTTATGGTTCATAACC